GTTTTTTTTACCGATTAGAAGCTGTGTGTGTGTGGCCTGGATTTCTCATGGTTCCTCTTCCTTAGATTTGGGGTGTCCCTCCCCCACTGTCTGACCCCCTTTGCCTCCCTGCTGGCCCAGACTATGTGGACAGACCTAAGCCTGGCCCCAACTTGAACCATGTGTGTTTTCAAAAAATAAAATGAAATTTAGGCAAAAATGGAAATATCTACATGTTTATTTTTAAGTAGACTTTTAAAATGTTAAGTGCTTTTGTTGGTTGGGAAACATCAAAATAGGTTGTGTGTAACTTGGGTTGCTCATAAAAGGAGCCTCACTCTTGATATATTTAGAGGAGTTTTCATATTAAATTTTTCTCTATTTTTCTTTTTAAACCAAAAAGAGCTTGGAAAATTCCTCCACCCTCTGCTGGTGGACTTTCCTGGCCTCGTAGTTCTGGTACAGACTGTTTCCTCAGCTGGAGAGTTAAGTTCACTGCGTGCTGCAGGACCTTGAGATCTGCTTTTCTCTCGGAGGAGCCACATCCTGTCAGGCCAGTGGCAGGAATGGATGGGACCAGCATTCTGAAGGGCAGAGCTGTGGCTTCCTCTGAGGGAAATTAGGCAATGATTTTAAACAAATTGTTTTTGCCAGTGCCTGGCTCTCCCTCTGGATTCCCCCCCCGGTTTCTGTCCACTTGCACCAAAAGCACTGGAAGAAATTTCACTGAAGGCTTCCCAGAGAAAGAGCATTTGGAAGGATTTGCAAAACACGCCATGAAAAACAGCTTGGGGCGCTTCCGGCGTGTGTCTGTTTTCTCTTGTCCCTCCTTCCACAGTGCCCAGCCCCACCAGGTCCCTCCTTCTCCCTCTCCCTCCTGGAGTTTTGCCAGCTGTACCCCTCTTATACTACGTAAATTTGGTCTCATGTCATCTTCCACGCCCACATCTTCACAACCCACCCAACGAGTATTCAGCACAAGAAGTCCTGCAGCTACCAGGACCACAGCAGGAGGAAGTTATATAATCTTTCCCCTTTTTCTTTTCTTCCTTTTTTTTTTTTTTTTAAACTAGGGGTTAAACCCAGGGCCTTTGCACTGAGCTACAACCCCAGCCCATTTTTATTTTATTTTATTTTTATTTTGAGACAGGGTCTTGCTAAGTCACTGAGTTGCCCAGGCTGGGCTTGCCCTTGAAATTCCTCTTGCCTCCCCATAAGTGATGTTATAAAACAAGCTAGAACAATAACGTAGTATTGTAAGGACTAAGCAGAGAAGTCGTAGAGGACTTTCTGAGCCCCTTCCTTGGGAACAGACCTGCAGGCCATGTAGCCTGCAATCATCAGCTAAATCTCGTCCAGGGATGTGTCACCTTTAGCTGGGTCCCCAAGGCCAAGGGACAAGTGGGGTTGCTAAAACCCCGGAGCAGCCCTCTGGCCTCTTCCAGAGAGCTTGCCTCACAGAAATCACTGGACTTTAGCCAGGCAGTTGGAGACCTGCAGACAGGGAGGGACAGGGCTACCTTGCCAGGCTCTGAGCTTGACACACAGACAGGCAGACCAGTGAGTGGCATGTGCCATGAGGTGGAAGGCTGCCAAGAAGTGGAGTCCTCTGGGAGCTGTTCTCCCCGCAGCCTGGTACAGGCCACTTTGAAGGCATCAGCTCCTGTCTCTCCTCAAACCATTCCTGAGAGGTCACTGGAGCTGAGAAAACTACGGGTGTCCAGTCTGCAGCCAAAACTCGGATTGAGTGCCACCGAGGGCCCTCAGAGGCCATGTTGCACCAAGCAGCTGATGCTGGGTGCTGGACCCCTGTGCCAGCAGGGTTTCCTCTATCTTTCTCCCACCCAGAGGAAACACCCAACATTCCAGAGCATCCTTATATTTAGGCAGGGCCACTGTTCTTCGTTCCAGAGGCTGGCTGGTGAGGCCAAAGTGTCCCAGCTGAGTGCATAGTGTGGCTGTGGCTGGTACTCATGTGAGCCACCCCTGGTGGATCACTGCAACACAGCCAACTTCTTCCCCTGTCTGGGGTCTTAGCTGTACCCATGTGCACTCTGTGCCATGGCACCTGCAGGTCCCTGACTCCCTGCTGGGTTCAAGGCCAGCTGCAGTGCTGCCTTCTCTTGCTGCTGAGTCAGCTGGCCTGGCCTCTGGGCTCCAGCACATGATGGGCATCCCTTGCACTGCTGGGCTGAACTCCCCTGAGAAGTGTATTAGACCTCCAAGAATCCACGTCTCTCTGGATGGCCATAGAATTGGCATGAAGTACAGGGGCCTTTTGCCACAGTGTCTAGCACTCAGCTGCCCTCAAGTGTCTTGGCTGTGGCTGAGCCCTCTGAGAGGCAGGGAGTGTCCTGGGGCTGGGCAGGGTTCTCAGAACAGAGGGAGAGGGGAAGGAGCTGCACACCCTGAAGTAGGAAACACCTGGTTCAGAGGCCCTGCCCCTTCCCTGTCAGCAGGATGCTCACTCCACAGTGCAGGCCCCCTCCTGTTCCAAGGAGGCTCAGAGCAAATGCTGTAGAGCCAAAGGTGTGCATATGTGGGTGTGCACACCCATGTGTGTGTGCTTGTTTGTGTTATGACATTGCTGAGGCCTGACTAAAGAATGAATTAAGGAGACAGACAGGAAGCTTGTTCCAGTGGATAGGGTAGGATAGGTGAGCCCAAGGACAGGGAGGACTTGAGCATCTGGGGAGGGAGTGCAAAGCCTGGCTCTGCACCTCTCTGCGACTGCACCCTGAGCCAGCTCTGCAGGAGGACAGTGCCATCAACGGTCCCGGCATGGGCAACAGCAGGGTGAGGCTGCAGCTGGTGTTAGGGGTGGCTGCAGCCTGCTCATTGCCCCCCAGGCTCTTGCTGTTTACACGGCCTGGAAGATCAGGGCAGCCCTCATGGAGCTGCTCTAGGTCTTCGTCCTGGTGCTGACCAAAGGAGTCAGAGGCCTTGGAGGGCTGTATTGCTGCATTGAAGCTCTCCAGAAGGTCCCTGGCAGGCCAGTAGGACAGAAATAAAGGTCCACTCCTCCCTGGGTGGTGAGTTGCAGGCAGTGCAGTGGGTATGGGTAGTGACTCTCTACAGGGGCTGTTGCTCCTTCCAGCTTCTGACCTGCACACTGTTACTGTGGTCCAGCTATGTCCCCCACACAGAGCAGAGCTGTGAACCCCAGGACACAGTTGAGGAAACAACTATGAAAAGGGGGGCAGGGACAGGGCCCAGGTCTCCCAGACTAGATGGGTGGGGGCTGAAGCAGGGGTTTTTGAATCCTTCTTCTAGAGGGTCCCCCAGGCTGGCAGGGAAGAGAAGCCACCAGCTCCCATTCTGGAGGGAGGTCAGCAGTGGGGGCTCAAGTCCAAAGGGGGCCCAGTGGAGGCCTCAGGGCCCCTGGAGTGTATCAGTGGGGTCCCCAGCGGGCCCAGACCAGTCCGTAGCCTCCTCCTGGGGCCCTGCTGCCCACCAGCCCTGCCCTTGTGCTTGGTGTTGCCCCCAGAGCTGTGGCAAGGCAGCCGTTTTGAAATAGTTGTTTGGGCTTTCTGGAAACTCCTGAAGCTGGAGTGAAAAATCCTCCTGGTAGTTCTAAAGAAGGCTCCAGGCCGTGGGCGCCAGGTTCCTGCATGGCTCGGGCTCGGGGAAGTAAACAGGCCTGAGCCGGAGTGGTACAAGCCACGCTGCCAGACTGTAGGTGCTGGAGCCCACAGCATGGGCAGCCACTGCATGGGCAGCCACTGCATGGGCAGCCACTGGGGCCTCTGTGTGCCAGGGTTTGCCCAGGTGCCCGGGCAGGCCAGGAAGCAATGGTGTTTGATGTTATATGAGGAGCTCTAGCAGGCTTCCTGGAGGGACCCAGCCCGTGGGCTTGGTAGTGCCTGACCCCCCTCCATGAGGCCACCATGCCCAGCCTCCTTAGCTGACAAAGCAGGTCTCTGTCCTTGCTGGCCGCAAGTGGAGGAAGACACAGCTTTTGGAAACAGCGGCTGTTCTCCCAAGCCCTGGGTGGTGGGCAGCGTGGCCTGAGCATCCCCTCCCTCCTTGGCACGTCCTGGAGGGGAGACTGTCTCCAGTTGCACGGGGCGGCTTCAATTTCCCCCCTGCTGATCACTACCATATGGGGACTTGGGACTGGGTTGCCACATCTTCAAATTTTCCATCAAAACTAGATCTCTAGATATTTGTGCAAAATTTCTCAATTTTTAAAATTGTTCAAAACACTATGTAGGCTGAACCATACACACCTGCAGGCCAGACTCGGTCCCTGGGTGGTCCGCAGGTGACCCTGTCTCAGCTGTCAGACACCAAGGCCACCTGAGCAAAAGTCTCCATGCCGGGGGTAGGAGGGCACTGAGTCCACAGCCGAGGAAGATGTGGCAGATTCCTCTCCTGCCCTCCAGAGAGGGGAGGAATTCCTCCAGTTTGTCTTGGTTCGCATCTGCCATCTGACCACAGTCATGGGGCAGGAGTGCACACACACTGTCCCTCTGTGGCATTTCTGTTGCTGTCTATCTGACCCTGATGTGCTGGGTCAGCCCCACTGCGGTTCACTGAGGCAGCTCCCCCTTCTGTGCCTACGTTCCCCTCTCACGGGTCTTGAGAGCAGCCTGGACCCTCCTGCTCCTAGAGGTGTGGGCCAATGGCAAGGCTGGGGCCGGTGCTGACCAATCAGAGCAGCGGCCATACAGTGAGAATTAATGGCAACATAGCACAGAGGGGGAGAAAGCAGGAGCCTTTGGATAAGAGACCTGGAATGAACCCGAAATTCCCCCTATAACTAGCCATATGACCCGGAGTTACTGCAGGAACTCTGTTCCCTCATCTGTCAAGTAGGGACAATAATTCCTTCCTAGTTGAGGTGGCACAGTGCTTGGCACACAGGGACTGGGGGCTCCCCAGAAGTTGTAAGTGATCCAGGCCCTTTCTAGGCCCCATCTCTATCAGAAGATGCAGGGCCAGGTTCTCAATGACCAACTCACAGGTTTATTTTCGGGACAGAAACAAGTTGGATAGCACCTGTACACATTTTGCAGGTGTATTTCCTTTCCAATATTTATTTTTGTCTCTTCTACATAGCATTGTGGCAGATTTAAAAGGCCCCTAGTTGTACCTAAAGCAGGCTTCCAGCCCTGCTGTCTTCCCTTCTTCCCACAGTCCTTTGCTCCCTTCCCTTCTCCCCAGGCTGAAGGAGAGGCTGGGTGCTGTAGGGCCTGGGGCAGGGGAAGTGCCCGTAACACTGGGTGAGCCTGAGAAGAGGTAGAAGCAGGGCAGCGGGGGTGGGAGGGGATGGATTCTGGAGATCTGTGGAGGAAGGAGAACGTGGTGAGTGATGAGGTGCCCGAGGAGGGTGGGGGGAGAAATGGGAACTGAGTGGTTGGCAGTGCCACCAACCAAAAGCGATGGTGGGAGTGTTTTGCTGAGAAGAGGTGACGAGCTCACCAGCACAAGCTGACCTCAAGATGTTGGCGAGGTGTCCAGGTGGAATTCATGCAGTCTTCACAGTGGCCCCACGAGCACAGGCACTGTAGTTGTCCCCTCTTCGGGTGAGTACAAGGAGGGTCAGAAATGCCGGGTACCTGGCTGCTCCAAGGTAGAGAGGCTGGTGAATGTAGCCAGTTCGACTTGGGAGCTCTTTGCCTTACTTACCTGTCCGTGCATTTGTTTCACTAACTTGCACCAGGTGCCTGCAGGAGGCTGGCACTGTGGGGGTGCTCTGAGTGCATCCACCGAACATGTCTGCCCTCCTGCTCTTCCTCTTCCTTGCACACACTGCCTGTGCTGGAGACAGAGAGCCCACAGATGAGGGCCTGTGGAGGTTTGGGGGGTGGGGGTGAGCAGCACAGGTGCCGAGGGAAGTCATGAAGGGGCTCTGCCCCAGCATCCTCATACCTGGGTCAAGAGAGAGGCCTCCCCCGCCCTCAGGAGAAGGCCTCACAGGAGCTGATTCCCATCACGGTGGCTTCCTTGGGAAAGTGAGACTTCTCATTTTTCAGATGAGGAAACCGAGGCAGGGAGGAAACAAACACTGCCCAAGGCCCCCAATGAATGAGCACTAGAGCCAGGTAGGAATGGAATCCAGTGTCTGCGAAGGCATCACATACCACTGCAGAAGGCCTGGCCCCAGGGCTCCTGCCCAGCCCCCCACCAGTCGCCCGGGCACCCACACCCCCTCAGGAGCAGCTGGTCAGTGGGTGTGGACTTCCTGCTCCTGCAACCCTCACCAGCCCAGCCTCCCCTTCCTGGGATGAGTTGCAGCTGCCCCCGGCCCCATGTCTGAGCCCCTGCCACTGGGGGTGCCTTAATGTATCTGGGGGAGTTGGCCAAGCCCAAGCCCGGAGCCAGTGCCATTAAAATAAGCCGAATGCCAGAACGCAGGGGCCTGACAGAGCAGGTGGAAACAGCTGCGGCCCCTCCTAAATTTAGGCAGGCGCTGCTCTGCCCTTCTTCCTCCCTCTGTGGGCTTTCTGGGTGGCTGCTGCCTCTGTCCTTGGCTGGGTACATTCCTGAAAGCCACCCCCAGTATGACTCACGGGGATAGGGCAGCCCAAAGAGGAATTTCTGTCTTCTCCACTGAGGTGCTTTTAAGCCAGTCAGGCCCGATCAGCTGGCTCTGCCCTCCACATCCTGTCCCGCCTCCCTTCTAGGCTGAGTTCCCAGGGGACCAGCCTGGTGACAGAGGAGAGCCTTGAATGATGTGGCCACGCCCAGACATGTCGGCACTTCCTGAGGCTGCTCTAGAAGTACAGCAAGGCTTGGGCTGGGGCCAGGGCCGGGGTCAGCCTCAGGTGGGTGGCCAGGGCCTGGCCCAGCCTCAAGGGGAGCCCAGCACACATTGCACCCAGTTCTTGTTTATTCTCTCAGTGTCAGCAAAGCCCGAAGATCAGCTCATCTGAGGGGTTCCTAAATATGAATGACCTGTGAGACCATTTTAAACTAATATAAACTAAAAATGTGTATGTATACCCAGTGTTTGGGCAGTTATTTGTTGGGGGATGAAGTGAGTATTGGGAGAGGTGTACATTTCAGAAATATGCTAAGCAAACATTGGGCTACACACAGTACAGTGACTACAAGTGGTAAATGATTGTGGAATAAGAAAACTGTCCATGGTGCCCAACCTAGTGAATGAGGGAAATGCGGAGGGCCACCTCCCTCTTCCTGCGTGTGTTCTGACCTCCTTCCTGGTATTTGTCTAGGGAAGACAGGTGCTTGGGTGTGACGTTTACATAAACTGATTTTAGTTTAGTGGAGTCCAGGACAGCATGGTTCAAACCTTGAATATTCCGTGGGGACTTTATTATGGGCTGGATGGGACAGACTATGACTGAGGTAGGAAATGAGCTAGATCCAGCCTCTAGGCAGGGCTAGATTAGACCAGAGAAAACAGGAGATGTCTCCTGCAAAGATGGGCTTGGCAACTTGGGGAATGAGCAAACATTCGGGCCAGACCCCAACACACCTCACTCCACCCTCCCCAGCCACACCTCAGTCTGACCCTGTCCTGGGTGGTCACGCCCTCTGCTACACCCACCCTGCCCTGAAACCTCCCCTAGGGGAGGGACAGGTGCTTCCTCTACCACCCTATGCGAACCTTTTAGCTTTGGGTCAAACCAGGTAGCAGAGGGAGGGACAGACACTATGGAAAGACGGCCACAGGACAGTTTTTGTAGTGTCAGTCAGTCCCAGAGAGATTCCAGTAGGAGCCGGACACCTCCCCCACCCACAGGTCAGAATGTGACAGGACACCTGCTTGCATGCCACTCACAGTCCCACGGAAGCCCCAGTCATCCTGAATATCCTGACAGGCTTGTCCTGCACCCCACCCCATGGAAATCCACTCCATTAGGCCCTCTTGTAGCATCCTGCATCCACACCTTGAACAACAACTTATTATATCAAGTCTGTAATTGTGCATTTGTTTTTGTGGCTGTTAGGTTCATGTGGTCCACCCGAAGTAGACTGTAAATCCAAGAAGAGGGACCGCGGCTGTCTGCTTGAGCACTGCTCAGCTCTGGCACACAGTAGGCACTCCAGAAATACTTACCTGATGAATGAATGAGGGGCAGACTTAGGAGCAAGGGCAATGGAAAGGTGAAGCATGACTCAGCTACATCTGAGGGTAGGTTGGTGCCTGGCGTCGCCCCCCAAGACAGAAATGGTGCTGCTTGGCAGGCTGTGCTGTTGAGAGGGCTGGGGTGCTTCGCAGGGGCTGTGTGGAGGTGCAGCCTGGCTTCTCAGGATGACCTGGCATGGCTAATGGGAATGATGACCGCTGCGGTACTTATGTGTGACTTGACAGCTTGAGGTGGGCATCGAGTGATGTACAAGCACTCTCTGATTTAGGCCTCACCCCACTTCACAGCTGAGGACAGTGAGGCTCAGGGAGGCCAATGGAGACGAGTGACTATGGATTTTTTTTCTGACTTTTTTTTTTCTTGAAATATAACTTACATATGTCATTTGCTCTTTTTTTTTGGTACCGGTGATCGAACTCTGGTCTTTGCGCTTGCACAGCAGGCGGTGAAACCACTGAGCTAAATCCCCAGCTGTCATTCACTCTTTAAATGTGTAATTATTTTGTGGGGAGTTGTGCAGCCATCACCAGCTCCACAAGCTCTGGAACATCTCATGGCCCCGGTTGGCACGCACCCTACCCGTTACCCATCTCTCCCCATTCTCCCCTCCTCCCAGCCCCTGACAACCCTTAACCTGACCTGTCTGTATGGTTTTGCCCATTCTGAGCTCCCACATAAATGCAATCACATAGTGCTGGTTTTTGTGTCTGGTTTTGTTCTTGGAGTGTAGTTTTTTCAAGGTTCACCCCTGTCATAGCATGGACCCAGGCTTCTCTCCTGTTCATGGCTGACCCCTGTTCCATTCCACGGGTGGACTATATGTATTGATCTGTTCATCAGTTGATGAACACGCGGGCTGACTACACTTTGGGGCTGGTGATGAATAATGCTGCTATGAACTTTCACATGGAAATTTGTGTGTGGACACTTTTATTTCTCTTGGGTATATGCCTAGGAGGAATTGCCTGGTCATGTGGTAACTGATTAACGATTAAGGAATTGCCAGCCATGACTGGAAGAGCTCTTGGATTGAAACCTCACCTGCACGTCACGTGTGAAGTGAGCTCCTCCACGTGGAGGCTGATGTCTAACCAGGGTGTGTCAAGTTCACCTTCTCTTTGGGGTGGCAGAGTTCATGGGTTCTGAGACTAACAGATTCAACAGATGCTGTAATAAATAGTAATGATCAGCACAGGAACTAACATTTATAGAAGGGGTACCAAGCACCAGTGACCTCAGTGCTTCCAATGTGCTATCTCATTTCATTTTCACAGTGACCTTGGGGGCAGGCTCTGCTGTTCTTTGCATTTTCCACAGGAGGAAGCAAGCTCTGAGTACAAGTGACTTGCCTGCATAGTGAGTGGCAGGGCCAGAGGGCTGCGTGGGAAGGCTCCCTGCTGCCACTCCCCTCTCCTGCGTGATGCTGCCCTGGTGGTCCTCCATGAGGGCCTTGGGAACAGTTCCTGCTCAGTGACTGTGGCAGCTTGAGACTGGCCCATCTCTTTCCTGCCTGGTTGGGCCCAGGTCCTGATGCCTCCAGCTAGGGGGAAGACTTGGGCATCAAACTCAAGAGCCAAAAGGTGCAGGAGGCTGAAATAGAAAGGTGACCTCGGCCTATGTGTCAGTGTGAGGCTGTTTCTTAGTGCAGGGTCAAAGGCTGTTGGAAAAGTCCTGAGGCTGTCTTCAGGGGTTTCCTGTTGCTGGCTGAGCCCTACATCCTGAGGGCCTTTGAAAATGGTCAAGTCCTGGGCCCAAGCCCAAAACTACAAAATCAAGATCTGCAGGAAAGGGCTGAAGAATGTAGCTTAGAAGTGTTCTAGGGTGTTCTTACCTAGCACTGGGGACTGGGGAAGGGGAACTTTGGGCTCCATGGGGATAGAAATGCCGCTGTCAAGCCACGTGAGGCTTGCTGGGGTGGCTGCAGGCAGGACTCTTACCACAGCTGCAGTGATGCAGGACCCTTCGGGGAAAGCAGAGCGCTTAGGAGCCGCCACCCAGGGAACTGAGAGTAGCAGTCCCGCCCTGCACTGCTGTGCGACCTGGGAGTAGGATCCTCAGAACTAGAAATGACAGGTATTTTCCAGTCCTTTGGGAGTCAGCGGCAGTTGTGTCTGTGTGATGAGCCCCAAGAAACAGGCCCTTGAGCTGTGGGATCAAAGATCACACCAAGGCCATCTCCTGGCACAACTGTAGGCTTGTCCAGAGGTAAAGAGCAGCAGGGAGCAGCAGGCTGGGCCTGATTGCTGGCCACATGGCAGACGTGGATCAGCCCATCAGGAGGAGCCGAGAGACAGGGGACCTGACCCAGTGAGCTTGGCGATGGTCAGCCCAACCCCAGACTCCTCCAGTGGTTTCCAGTGAGACAGATGCTGTGGAGCAAGGCTGTCCAGCATATGTGTCAGTCCTAAATACTTCCTGCAGGGACCAGGGGCACCTCAGCTCCAAGACTGGACACAGGGCTCTGCATCCTGTCATGGGAATGAGCTTCCTTCCAGATGGACAGAGAGTAGGTGACTCACCAGACAGCCTGGAGAAACCTGAGTGGGAACCTGTGGATTCTTCAGGGCTGGGGGCGAGGCAGACTCTCCACACCCTGACCTCCTCCTGCCCCCTGGCTCTTCCTGCTCTGTCTCCACCACTGGCCTCCATGGCCTTTTTCTGGTGGAGAAGCCATGCGTGCTCTTTGGCTCTGGGACGGGGCCATAGAGGCCTGGCTCAGCTGCCCCTGCCTTGAGCTCTGACACCCCAGGCTGGCCTCACCCCCCCCCACACACACACCTTGTAATACAGTTACAGGTACTGACTGAGAGGGCAGAGCCTGTGCAGGCCAAGGCTTCAGTGGGGCCTCTCCCCAGGCTGGGACTTGAACATAGCTGGTGCTTCTGGGAGAGAGATGAAGTTTGGTTTGTCTGGCCCCATCTACAGAGAACCTCTTCTGGGGCATCATGCCAGTGAGGCTCCATGGAGAGGAAGGAGACTGCTCCTGATGCTGCTCAGGAGGGTGAGTCCTTGAGTGGCCTGGGGCCTGCGGGAGCACAACTGTGTTGGCAGCTGCTGGGCAGGGAAAGGTGGGTGCTGACCGATGACTGAGCAGGTGCTGGGCCTGGCTGGCAGCCAAATGTGGCAGCTGGACTACCCACCCCCGTGCACCAGGCGGGGACTTCAATGCTCATGCTTTTCCTGCCTGCAAAGGGTGCCACCTGCCCTCGGGTGGGCAGGGCCCCAGGAGAAGGTGGGCATGTGGGGCCCTGGGGCCCAGAAGTAGGTTGCTTCTGCTCTTGAGGGCAGGGCCAGTCTTGCCCTGTGGGGTGCAGCCCCCACCAGGGACCCCAAAGGAACTTTCTTGTAGTTTCATAGCTCAGGATGAAACCTCAAACTTGGTGTGTTCTGTGATATGTTATACACACACACACATACACACACGCATACACACATGCATGCACAGCTTCAAGGACTTCATTTTTTTAAAAATTGCAGTGCTAGTGATGTAACTCAGAGACCCGCACATGCCTGGCAAGTGCTCATCACTGAGTCACA